CGTGGCACGTGTTAATTATCTAACTATGCTAACTCCACCGTCATTTGGAGGATGTATTATACATGCGTTATCACAAATGTTTTGCCTTTCTTCGGCCCATGTAGCAACAGTGTGCCGCTCAGAGGAAGACGAAACATTTATAATGAGTTGTGTTTGACTCATCAGGAGCTCAGCATGTGTCTGAGGGCAGAGAGGGTCTGCACCGTGGGCTCTGAATGTCATCCAGCTAGCGTGCCGCCGCCGAGCGTTGCCTTTGGCTTACTTTGCATATTCATGTGATGTTTATACAGTAGATGGAGCAAAGGTCATAAAATCCTCAAGTAAATAGACACAAGTAAGTAAGCAGCACGGATCTCTATCACAAGACAATACCCGGCTCTGCCTTTGAATGCATCGTCTTCTCGTTGCACCTACAAGGTCTAGAATGAGAGGTGGTGGTGGGAGGAGGGAGGAGAAGAAAAAAAAAAAGGGCAATCTAATTCCATCTGAGCGCGCTGTAAACTACAGTAGGGATGACAGTCAGTCAGCACAGCATAGATAAAGGTAATCTCTGTCTTTCTGATGCCATGTTCACTCACACAGGTAGACAGGTTAAAAAGAGATATGTAGCAGATCAAAAGAACTGTCAGCCTCCATCTCTGTAAAGCTGCCTGTGTGTGGCGGCGGAGAGAAGAAGTCACTTTCAGTTTCTATGCATCATATCAATACTACAAACAAAGGCCAGTTGAAAAGGACAGCCTGTGTGCATATCTGTGGCAGTACATATGTTATATCATGACTCTGTTGTCGGTATCAGACATCTACAGCCGCCTGCTGAATTACAAAATATTACGGGCTTTACAAGGAAGGTTTCCTAAATGATATATAGGCTGCATTTCAATAAAAGAACTCATTTCCTCCACAGAGATTAAGTTTTCATACAGTCCAACTTTAGCTTCACTTAATCTAATTTGAATTTTGACACAGCTGCCTTGTAAAGGATAAAAGAGAAAACAGGCCGAAGTATTACAGCCATAAAGGCAGAATTAACTTTTCACGCCTCTAATTTTGGGGACGTTTAGCGCAGATTTTTGCGAACAAGTGGAAAGTCTCTCACCTGATGACAGTCATGAGGCCTTGTGCAGCTGCCGTGAAAGAACCAAAAAGGTAATTCTGAGGTCATGTGGCTGCAAAGCTGTTCTCTCTTTTGTGAATTGGACCTTATTTAAACAGTACGTATTAACAAATGTTCTGCTGTTTGTCATTCCGGCAGCAAACCACACAGGAACAGAAACAAAAATGATGGTCGCGGCTGTTTTTGTGAGTTCTCACACCGACACGTACTTGTCACCGTAGGTTTCATGCTTTAAACTTTGGCAGCTGTACACGGCAGCGTTTGAGTGTTTGGGACTTAAGTTATCTTATCCGAAATCTGCACATGTTTAGATGCAGTGATTTAAAGCAGTCTTTTACATTTTTTACATGGTGGGAGCTTTTAAATTGTTCAAATGAGATCGTTGTCGCAGCGCTGTTGGGGTTTTTTTTATCTTTTAGGCCTTCAGAGCAACAGTGTCCCTCAAATTTGCATTCCCATACAGCTGAACTGCATCGTCACTTCTGTTTTTAAAGACACTGAGGGGAGGGGATGTTCCTCCCAGAAATGAAACAGCACATGGGAAACATTTCTCATTTCAATACAGCTGCAGAGCCTGTTTTAGGAGGTCAGGTCACTCAGGAGAGCTTGTTGGAAACATTATTTTTAGACTAAAGTTTTGTTTTCACTCACGGTTATCTTTTGTTTCCACTGACTGTTTGGTTAAGGCTCCACACGACTTGTTTAACCCTCCTATTACCTTTGGGGTCAATTTGACCCCGTTCAATGTTTAAAATCTCTAAATAAGTCATTGACATATTTGTTCAATTTTATTTAAAGGGCTATTTACACATACACTTGGGTGACAATGTTAATTGTGATATTTTCTGGAGGTTTAAATTGTTGGGGTCAAATTAAACCCAAGGATAAAAGATGTCAGTAAATTTGAAGGTAATAGGAGGGTTAAGTTTAGTAAAATAGTTTGGGTTTAAAATGGATCGTTTCACAATGTTCATTTTCATAAATTGATGCACATGTAACACAAACTGATATATATATAT